AGCCCAGGCTGTAAAATAGTGCTCACTTCCCTTTTATTTCTCTATACAGGGCCCTCTGAGGACTTCCTCATCAGATGCACAATCCTGAGGGTTCCCCTTTCTCTCCAGCCTCCTTTATACTTGGGGATGTAGGCCACAGCTCTCAACCTGGCTGTGGTCTGAAGCTCTGAGTTCTCCTTCTGCAGGAAATGGTTTCTCTGTGACCATGCCAGCCTTTGATTTCCTGACTTTGTGGAATCCTGGAATAGATCTCTATACGGTTCTCAATACTTCCACCCCACTAAATAGCTCAATTTGAGTGATCAAACTGGGGTCCAAAATACCAATTCTCTTTGTCATGTTTCTCTAATGAGCAGTAATAATAATAATAATATAATAATGAGAAATGACATTTAGGAAATGCCAGACAAGTAGCACAGAACACTGTGTGCAGTATCTCAGTAAATATTCACAGGAAATATGAGCTTCAGAGAAATTTTCTCAACTCCACAGAAGAGAACAGAACAGTAGTCACAAGACTAAGAAGAAGAGGGAGGGAAATTATAGAAAAGCCAGATGATGGATACCAGATACAGCTAGATAGTAGCAATTAGTTCTAGTGTTCCTAACTACCTGCATAGTTTATCACAATTTATTATGTACTTCAAAATAACTAGAAGATATTTAAGTTTTCCAGCACATAGAAATAAGCGCCCGAAGAGATAGAAACACTAATTGCCCTGATATGAGTATTAAACATTACAGTCAATATGTCAAATTTTATTTAATATTATACTCCATAAATATGAATATTATCTTTTAACTAGATTTTTTAAAATAAAATTTTAAGACAACAAAGCTAGTAAATGAAAAAACAGGAATCCTAAACCACGTCTGGCTCCAAATGTTTAAATATGAATAATATATAATATAGACAACATTAAAAATGGAAAAATTATCACTGCTTTCTATTCACTCCTCAAAACAGAATATCACACAAGTTTTGCTGTTCTAATCCTCGTATACTCTTTTCATCACTGATTGGCATCCCAGAAATTAACTTCTCTAACAAGCTAGACAATGGCAAGATATGTATCCTGTTGTTATCATTTATGTTACACCACCCTAAAATTGTTTTAGGCTTGAATTCCAAATAAGACCCTAACTCTTCAAGATGAGTCTGTGTCCATAATGACTAGCTGATAGGGGCATTCAATAAATGCATGGGGTTGTTGCCATACCTGTAAGCCCAGTGTGATGTCTTACTCCCTGGGATCTAGATTTGTGGTTTATTTCCTGAGCCCAGGGAAATATTAGTGATAACCTGGATGCCTCTAACAGCAAGTTCTAAATTTGATGAGATGAGTCACCTTTTACCTCCCACCATAGTCTGTGTGCTTTCTAAAACCCGAGGTGAAAAGGATCTTAGATGTGTGGAAGGAAGGAAATTGGAATTTGAAGATAGTTTACCCAATGCCAGCACTCTGCTAGACACACACCCACAACGATGGATGGAACCTCACCCACCAGAGTCTATGAGGGCAGCACTGATACTAAGTAAGAGATGGGCCACAAGTTGAGTTCCATGAAGATTATTAGGATCTGGTGAGTCACGGCTGAGGTCATTGCTACTGCAAGCCACATGGTCTCACTGGCCACTCTGGGCTCATTAGACATCCAAACCCTAGATCTGCAGGAAAGAGGAACAATAGTAGAAGAGTGAAAATATCAAGAAGTGTCAATGCACAAAAAGAGTGGAAGGGGAGAATTTCAACAAGGTCAGAAGAAGGGAGGCCAAATCCATCCAGACTATCTTGATTCTCTTCTCCAGACCTGCACAACAAGGCTTCATGTGGAAACAGGCTAGAGGATCCAGTGTCAGAAGACTGTTGTGCTTTTAATCGTATTTCAAAGGAACAGCAAGTCCTACTGTCACTGTTTTTTGAGGCAAAGCACATTAATATTTTAGATATACATAATGGTAACATTCATCATAGGGAATTTATACTTGTACATGATACATCTTGCTTCTTTTTTCCCATTCCCCTCCTTATTTACAAGTTTTGTTTTCATTTTTTCCTTATATTATTTTTTTCTTGTCCCTTCTTTCTTCCCCTCACCCCTTCCTTGTTCTTTTTCTCATTTGAACATTTTTTTCCCATTTCCCAATATCTTTTACACATTTTTGTCCTTATTCTCACTTTTGGTTTTTAACACCAAAGAAACAATGCAGATTTAGCTAGAAATGTCTCAAGCTTATCCTTATGTCAGAGTAGAAAGCCACTATATTAAACATACACACATCTTTAGCCTTTCCTCGGTTGATGGATATTTGAAAAATACTTTACAAACTATGCTGCTATATACATAGGGGTGCATATGTTGCTGTGGTATGATGCTTTTAACTCTATTGGGAAGATACCAACAGAGGGTCAAATGGAACCTCTAGTTTTAGTTTTTTGAGGAATCTCCACACTGATTTCCACAGTGTTTGCATCACTCTACACTTCCACCAAGAGTGGATGAGGGTTCTGTTTCCCACGGCCCCATCAGCATTTGTTATTGGTTGATTTCTTGATAACAGTCATTCTTTCTAGAGTGAGGTGGAATCTGTTTGTTTTAATTTGCATCTGTCAAATGACCAGTGATGCTGAACATTTTTTCATATATTTATTTAATATTTGTACTTCTTCATCTGAGAAGTGTCATTTCAGAGGTCCATTTTCTGATTGAGTCTTTAAATTTGGGGGGTCTTTTTTTTTTAGTTCTTTATATATTCTAGATATGAGGTCTTTGAGGAATAGCTGGTTAAAAACTTTTTGCCATTCTGTGTGTTGCTACTTCACTCAGTGGCTTCTTTTATTGTGCAAAAGCTTTTTTAATGTGATCCCAATTTTCACTCTTTGTAATATTTTTCTCTGTGATCAGAGTTCTGTTAATAAAGCCTTGCCTACATCTATGTCTTCAAAAGTTTTACTTATTCAAACTTCCAGCAGATTTAGTTTTTGTTTTAGTTAGATCTTTGATCCATTTTGATCAACAACATGGTCCTTTTTAAGGGTACATATGTAGATATTTTGAAAAAAATAAAGAATAAAAATGGGAACAATGAATGAAACATTTTGGATACTGATTACCTGATGCAAAGAGATGTGTTCAGTGAAAAACACACAGTATTTCATTTTTTTGATGAGTATTAAATGTTTTATTTAAAGGTATTTAACATGAAAAATAAGGTATACAGATACAGATTACATTAGGATGAACAAAGCAGTATTCTACATGACAAAAAAAGACAAATTTATAAAGTAAATGTACTGGCACTGGACAATGTACTTGAAATTTAATCCAGGTTGCATATGCATAAAATGATCGGACCATATAGAGTTCTGCAAAATAAATTATTTCTTAGAACAACAAAATGCCAGCTATTTTTTTACCACAAACTGCCTTATTCCCTTGGCGAGTATTTTGAGAGAATTTCTACATAATATGAAGAGAACTGGCATGACCCTTAAAGACTGCAAAAAATAGAACACAGTTGAAAACATTTGTAATGCAATTCTGCATAAAATACACAGTCTTACTACTTAAAAATTTTAAAAACAAAGACCATCCAGAATAAAGATTAAAACCTCATAAAAATGCTCATCATTTGTATATTACTGGTAGAAAACTGATAAGATTTTGTGGGGGAAACAGGGATGATATCTAATGAAGTTATTCATTTAAGATTTGTTCCAAAATGTTCATAAGGCTGTAAATTGCTGCTTATACCATCTTAAAATATTATACCATGAATGCACTTTTTACTATTTAACTGGAGGAAAAAAAGAATAATTTTTAAAAAGTGTTTTTTCAAAATAAGGTCCAAAGGCCCAAAAGAATTCTAATGTGGGCTCAGTAATAAACACGTTAAACAACCTATGTGATTATTTTACATTCCGAAATGTCCTACAGCAAAGAGCAGCTCTTAAAAGCAAGGTCATAAACATGTTTGACTTGTTAGAATTCTCTATAACTTTATGTTGTGAATACTGCTTTTTTGTTTTAAAATAAGTTCCAGCCATTAAGAGAAACATATATGCCTCAGACATGAACATGTGAATGTCTATAAATACTTTCCTTTGATATTGTCATTATGTTCATACTTAGTTATTTGAAGATAAGACAATATATGTTTTTTAAAAGCTTTGGCCAATCTTTGGAAAAGTTAATTCCTAATAAAATACAGCATCTAAAAAAGATAAACAGGTAAGTTATTAAATGCCTACAAATTTTAAATCATTTTATATTTAAACCTAAATTGCTTACCTAGCACTAAATTTTCCTAAGATTTTAACACTATAACTTATTTAGAGGATGATGGTTACTTTTCAAGTCCTTTGCATAAAAATGGTACTAAATCAGAGGAATGCTGTATCTGGCAACTCTATAAATAATTGTTACCTGCCAATTTTAATAAAAATAGTTTGAAGAACTCTGCCCCCAAAATGAATTCAACTATGTATTTCATGTGTTATCCTATTAAGAAAAACTTAACTAAAGAGATAGAACTATATGTTTTCTCCATATTTATTCAAAGTTGTTATTATTTTTTTATTTTCCTGAAGAATACATAAACTAGACCCTAAAAGAACAGGTAATATGGTCTGGAGAGAAACTAGCATAGGTAAGATATTCTATTTAAAAGAAAAATTATTTTACTGTATTGTAAATAACAAGAAAAAATGTTAATCATTCTCTCCACAAAATAAATGGAATTTAGTTAACAGGCAATTGCCTCATTGTTATTTAAGTCATATGATAAAAAGCAACTCTATCAACAAAAAAAAACTTCATATTCCCTATTACAGACTATAAGAAGCAAATATTACATCTAAGAACAACTACAAAAAAGAAATTAAAATTATCTTCCAGACAATTATGAAATGGTTAATTGAATCCAAGCTGGTAACAAGTTTTTCCATGCACTGAATAGCAACATAAGGAGTACTCATAGTTGAAAATGAGGATCAGACTCATTCTTCTTCAAACATTGTAAGATGATTAATATACTCAAAACCTGCAAATTCACATCCATCAGTCTTCCTCACGATGTCATTATCATCTGGGGTGAGCTGGACAGGTTCATCAGTAAATTGAGGATCAAAACTGTCCAAACCAATTCCCCCAGACATTTTTGGTTTAAAGGGAGGCACCACCTGCTTTTGCTCCATCATCTCCCAGTTAACATTTTGAAAGAATAGATGCCCCTGGACATCAGCAAATCTCCTTAGAGGAAAAAAACCCAGTCGTTCCACTGGGTCCCTGTTCAGAAAACTCTTCAGAACACTTGCAGCTTTTATGGACAAATAATAAGGTATGTGAATTTTTCTTTGCAAAATAACTTCCAAGAGATTATTTGAGTTTTGGTCAGGGTTGTCAGAGCTCTCAACAAGATGGAATGGAGACTCCCCAACCATCATCTCATACATCAGCACTCCAAGAGTCCACCAGTCCACACCAAAGCCATACTCTTCCCCTCTTACAATTTCTGGAGCCAGGTAATTAGGAGTGCCACAGAAAGTGCTGGTCGTGTCTCCCAGCTCTAAGCCTTCGTTACAAATACAGTAATCAAACAGTTTAATGTGCCCTTCTGAGTCGAGTAATAAACTGTCTAGTTTCAAATTTCTGTACAGTATCCCTTGCTGATGGAGACAGTTGAATGCTAGACTGATTTCTGCAGAGTAAAACCTGGCATGTTCTTCAGGAAGTATTCTTTGTTGCTGCCTATGAAACATCAGATCTCCACCATTTACATAGTCTAGAATAAAGAACAGTCTGCTTTCTGTCTGGAAGCAAGAATGGAGTCCAACAAGAAAAGGACAATTAGATGCCTGCTGTAAAACGTGCTTCTCTGTTTTTACCTGATCACTGTTGACACTCTTTTTTCTGTTTTCATTGCATACATACGATCTGAATTTTTTAGTTGAACTAACAGCACTTTGGCATAACTTCCTCTCCCTTATCACCTGGAGCAAATTTAAGTCCTGAAGATCTAAATTATTGGATGAAGTTTTTTCACTTTCCCCAGTGTTCCCTGCCTCATTCTCTTCACCAAGTTGTTCTAAAGCCTCCTGACTTGAAAGATTATGTGGGTTCGCTGTCTGAGCAGGGCCTGACGTCATGGTTGACGGATCCACTGGCACCATGGGCTCTGATGGTAGAGAACACTGCCCACAGTGAACTGTGACAAGTTGGTGGCACTTCTTGTGCACCAAGAGTTTACAGCAGATGCACTTATACACCTGGCGGCCAAGGCCCCCTACACGGTCTGTGCAGACAGCACAGTGAGCTCACCTGCTGAAGCGTTTGGCTTGAAAAGTATGGCCGTTTTCACAATACAGCTTTCTCCAGCGGCCTGAACCTTTTTGGTGGATGGATTTCTCCTCCCTTGGACAAGACACTTTAGGATGTTCTGGTATACAAGGTGATACATGAACAAAGAGTTCAAACTCCTTCGTTAGCTCAGAAAGCCTAAGACCCTCTTCTAACTCTGAGGTGACAGAATAAACGGGTCTCCTTCCTCCTCTACCCAATCTGCGGTGAAAAGCTGTTTATTGTCCAAACACCACACATCTCGATCTTTATCACACAGGCTCTCAAAGGAGTTGGAATTCTCAAAAGACGTTGTCATGATGTCTCTTCCCAAGCTGAGGACCGATCGGTAGAGGTGTGGGTGGTGGAGGTGCCTGGGAAGAAGGGACCATAGACGGGTTGACTGCCCAGGAAAACGGGCAGGAAGGGCTTGGTGAATGAGTGTGGCCTGACTGCCTGCACGGACCACACTGGCCGGAATTCCGCAAGGCGCTCTGTGATGTGGTTTCCAACGGGGGCGACCAGGCCTGGGTGGATGTATACACCAGGCTTCCCAGTGTCTCTCGGGGGCAGGTGGCTGTGACTTCGCTCTCCGCCCTTGGATTTTGACTCTCTGGATTTTCTGTGCTCGGCTCTGGGGAGATCTGCCCAGAGCGACTGGGTGTTTCTGGGCGAGGTGATACTTGCCCTGCGCTCTTCCCAGCTTCGGTGGTATTTGGGCTTAGGGAGACTTCCCTGGGGCGCCTTGACTTTGGTAGGTCACTGGTGGTCACTCCCGGGGAGACCTTCCCTGGAGTGTCTGTGACAGTCGTGTGGCTGCGGCAGTGCGGCCTGCGGCATCTAGATGGAGTCAGCCGTCTTCTCAATCTTTCACAGATATTTTCTCTGTCTGGGGTCCTGAGGCTGCAGCCTCGCGAAGTGGAGAAGCAGCTCAGCATGTTCGCTCTTGACCGTCTCTGGCCAAGTGAGCTCGGGAGACGCTGCTACTGGATTGTGAGGCCCATTAGCAAGGGTTCCACGTTCTGTTTGGAGATGTTGCCAAGGAAGTGAGGTCATGCCTTGGGGTTCCACAACCTGAGTCTACACTCTGATAAGAAGACTCTGTGGCTCATCTTTTTCTTCATACTAAGTAAATCAGTGGCTACTTACTTATTTTATTATTTTTATCTAAGTATTTATGAGTCTTTTTATCTATGTATCATCTATTAGTTTTTTACTTGCACATAATTAGGGCTTGTACTTTGCACCTCCACAGTGAACTATATCCTCAGCCATTTTTTTTTTCAGATACCCACTAATGGTCTCACTAACCCACCAAAATTGGTCAGGCTTGACTCCACCATGTGATCTTCTTGCCTCAGCCACCCAGAGTGCTGGGATTACAGTCACATACCATTCTGCCTGATTCAGTGTGCTATTCAAAAACAGCAACACTAGGAAATCTTTCTGTGATATAAGTCATTGGTGACATTTTTATTTCTATAGCAACATGTGTTCACTGACGCTTTGCATGTGGTAGGCACAGTGTTAAGGGGTCCTTTTCATAAAAAGGAGGCATTTTCTCCGAAAACACAATGCTGTGGATTTACTCTTAAAGAGCCATAAAATTCTGTGATTCTTTTCTTTCCTGGATGTGTAAAATTAATTGTACTGGTGCAATTTAGATACACATAATGATCACATTCATCCTAGGGAATTTGTACCTGTACATAATGTATCTCAATTATTTTTCCCCCAATCCCCTCCCCTCCTTGCAACTCCTCTGTCCCTCTTTATTTACAAAAGCTTTGTTCCATCTTTTTCCTTCTATTATCTTTTTTCTTTTCCCTTCCTTCCTTTCCTCCTCCTCCTTCCATTGTTCCTTTTCTCATTTGAACATTTTTTCCTATTTCCCAATATCTACATTGGACCTTATTTACCCTTTTTTATTTCTCACATCAGAGAAACAATGCAATATCTAAACATGCGCATCTGATTTATTTCACTTAAGAATATAGTCAAGGTACAACCATTATCCTGGAAGCATCTCAAGTTTATCCATCCTTATGGCAGAATAGTACATAACTGCATAAAAAAATACCCCACATCTTCTTTATCTATTCATCTGTTGTTGGGCATTTGGGTTACTTCCAAGATTTAACTACTAAAAACTGAATTCATACAAACATGAATGTACAAATATCACTGTGATATGATGCTTTTAATTCTTTCAGGATGATAACAAGAAGGGAAATACGTGGATTAAATGGAACCTGCAACTTTAGTATTATTAAGAATCTATTACCAAGACCTGGCATGTAAAGGTACAAGATCCCAGTAATGAATGTAGCTCTACTGTCTACCGAGAATGTACCAATAAATTAAATTTTTAAAAAAAGAATCTCTATTCACATTTCCACAGTGGTTGCACCAGTCCATGCTCCCACCAGTAATGGGGAATGGTTCCTATTTCTCCATAGCCCCACCAGCACTTGTCATTGGTTGATTTCTTGATAACAGCCATTCTTTCTGGAGTGACATGGAATCTCAGCATCATTTTAATTTGCATCTCTTGAATGACCAGTAATGTTGAACATTTTTTCATATATTCATTAGATGCTTGTACTTCTTCCTCTGAGAAGTGTGTACTCCCTTCAGATGCCCATTTTTGGATTGGGTCTTTAAATTTGGGATGAGTCTGATTTTTTTTTCTTTTTTCAGTTCTTTATATATTCTAGATACTAGGCCTTTGTCTGAGGAACAGCTGGAAAAAGTTTTTCCACGCTGTGGATTGTCTCTTCACTCTGTTGGTGGTTTCTTTTACTGTGCAAAACTTTTTTAGTATGATGTTATCCCAGTTGTTGATTCTTTGTGATGTTCTCTATGCGATCAAGGCTTTGTTCATAAAATCTCTGTCTACTCCAGTGTCTTCAAGATTTCTGCCTATTTTATATTCCAGCAAATTTGTTTGTTCTAATATTTGGATCTTTGATACATTTTTATTTTAGTTTAGTAAATGGTGAAAGATATAGATCTAGTTTTAATCTTCGATGTGTGGAAAGCCAGTTTTTCCAGTACCATCTATTAAAGAGGCTATCTTTTTTCTAGTGAAGATGTTTGGCTCATTTATCAAAGATAAGGTGGCTCTGTGTGTTTGGAATTGTTTCTGCATCTTCTAATCTGATTCTTGGGTCTGTTTTGTTGTTGTTGTTGTTGTTGTTGTCATTATTGTTGCTCCTGCTGTTTTGTTGTGCTGCGTTGTGATTTTTTTTTTTTTTTGTCAGTACCATGCTGTTTAATCACAGTAGCTTTGTACTACAATTTCAAGTCAGGGATTATGATGGCCCCTTCCTTGCCTGTGCCATCCAGAATTGTTTTTGCTATTCTAGGTCTCTTCAGGTTCCAATTTTAGGATTGTTTTCTCTAATTCTGTGAAGTATGCTATTGATAGTTTGATTGGGATTACATTAAATCTGTATAACAGCTTTGAAAATGTGGCCATTTTCATTATATTGTTTCTTCCTACCCAAGAACAAGGGATATTTTTATCTCCTTTTTAAGAGTACTGTAGGTTTCCATATGAAAGTCTTTAACTTCTCTCCTTAGACTGATTCCTAAATATTTCATTTATTTGGATGCTACTGTGAAACGTGTTATTTGTGTACAGGAGTGTTACTGATTTTGAGTCTTTGTATTTAGCTATGCTACTGAATTTGATTATTAAATCTAGAAGTCTTTCGGTGGAGTTTTTGGAGTCTTCCATGTAGAGTATTACGCTATCCACAAAAATGATAATTTAACTTTTTCTTTTCCTGTCTCTATTTTTTATTTCTTTCTCTTGACTAATTGCTCTGGCAAACATTTCCAGAAATATACTGGATAAGAGTGGTGACAGTATATATCCTTGTCTTGTTGCTGATTTTAGAATGAAAGCTTTCAAATTTTGTCCATTTAATATGATGTTGGCTGTTGCATTGTCATAGATGGATTTTATCAAGTTGAGTTAAAGGCCATCTATAACAATTTTCTGTAGGGTTTTTATCATGAATGAGTGTTGGACTTTGTCAAACACCTTTTCTGCATCTATTGAGATGATCATGTGGTTTTAGTCTTTGGCTCTGTTAACATAGTATATTACATTTATTGATTTGCATATGTTGAATCACCCCTGTGTTCCTGGGTTAAATCCTACTTGGTCATGGTGTATAACCTTCTTGATGAATTGCTGCATTCTGTTTGACAGTATCTTACTTAGGATTTTTGCATCCATGTTCATTAGGGAGATTGGCCTGTAATTCATCAGATCCTTCTCTGGTTTGTATATTTTTTCTCTCATTGAGTTTATTGGTACATTTTAAGTATACTATACTGTATACTTAAAGTGTACCAATAAAGAAAAAAAGTGAGGGGAGAAGAGAAAAAAAAGAAGGCTCATGATGCAAAGGAAGGATCTTGCAGTTGGGATATGGAAGGCCTGGTTCCAGTTTCAACTGAGATATTGCTTGAGCCACATGATAGTGAGAAGGTAATTTAATTTCCCAAAGAATCAGCTCTCTTATTTGTAATACGGGGTACTGAGGGGGAGGATTAGATTAGATCTGTCAATCTATTAACTAATAAGAGACTTTTTCTATTGGTACATTTTAGGTATACCCTACAGTTACATTCATTTTTGGGATATTGTACCTTTACATGATGTATCTTGGTTCTCATTTTTTCCCATTCCCCTGCCCTCCCTTTTCTCGTTCTTTATGGCTAAGTACTATTTCATTTTACAGAAAAACCACATCTTCTTTATGGAGCCTCCAGCTGATGGGCAATCAGGCTGTTTCCAAGTTTTAGCTGTTGCAAACTGTGCCTCTATAAACATGGGTGAGCATATATCACTGTGGTATGATTCTTTTCATTGTTTTGTAAAGATACCCAGCAGAGGAATAGCTGGGTCCAATGGAACCTCTACTCCTAGTTGTTTGAGGTATCTCCATATTGATTCCCACAGTGGTTGCAATAGTCTGCACTCCCATCAACAATGGAGAAGGGTTCCTTTCTCCCCACAACCATGCCAATATTTGCTATTAGTTGATTTCTTTCTGAGGTGAGGTGGAACCTTAGTATTGTTTTCATCTGTCTCTCAAGTGGCCAGTGAAGTTGAACATTTTTCCATGTTTATTTGCTGCTTTTACTTCTTTGTCTGAGAAATGTCTGTTCATTTCAGATGCCCCTTTTTTAATTGGGTTTATAAATTTGGGGGATCTGATTTTCTTTTTGAGTTCTTTATATATCTTAGATAGTAGACCTTTGTCTGAGGAACAGCTGATAAAAATTTTTTTCCCACACTGTAAGTTGTCTCTTAGATGAGCCTGCTTTCAACACAAACATCAACCTTAGAAAGAAGTGGATTATAAACCACAACCTGCTAAAGTAGAAATTAATCAATCATTTGGAGAGAAGGCCTATGCATGATCCCTAAGCAAAACTTTTTCTCTCAAACACAGGCCCATATGCCATTTCCCTTTGCCAGGGCAGTTCCTATACTGCTGGGTGTCCTTCTGCTCAGGACACTGAGCAAACAAGGTCATAGGTAGTATTTAGCAGTCTTTCCTAAGCTCTGAAGGTCACCTCAGTCCTCAGCATTTTTGCATCTTTTCAAATAAATAATGAAAATGCAGATTTCTCAATATGGCATAGCTGGGTTGGTTCCCTAGGAGATGCTTTTACACTGCGCCACGTATTGCCAGCATATGTTTCTTCTTGCAGAGCGGGTGCCAAATTGATATTACATTAGGGAATATATTTTCATAAAGAATTAAGGACACCAAGTAACAACCTGTTAGAAAAATATACTGGAGAGAAACGTGGGCAAAGACAAGTCTTGTTCACAATAACATCACATGATATGGAAGTTTAAGTAAGAATAATCAAAGAGAGAGGGTTTTAAAATATGAAAGTAAACCTCAAA